AAAACCTCCAATGACTCCTAACGAGTTTGCCTGCCCCATCTGCCACCAAGCTAACACTGCAGCCTTATGTCACACTACTCAACGCAACACAGTCCATGCTCCCATCAAATAGGATTATTCAATATTCCCTCTTCCACATGCTCATGCTGTTCCCTAAAGCTCACCCCCAATGCCACTTCCTCTGCAAAGCCTTTCCTCCCGACCCCAGCCCTCAGCTAGAAGTGACCTCTCCCATCACTTAATAGCCTTTATATTGCTCTTCTACATTTATATTCCAATTTGCATCATATGATTTGCATCATATCATAACTCCTACCAAAAAGAGCTGGGGAAGTCACAAAAGACTGCCTGGGTCAACCATAAATTCATGCTATTTACCACTGACAGCGGGTCGTTCTACTAATCTCTGATGGACTTCCTACTATACTACCCACAACGACTGTTTCAAACCTTCTCTCTTCTCCAGCTCTCCCAAGTCTTAGGTTTCTACATTATTGAGAGTAAGGCCGCCTCCTCCACCAGCCCCAGCTTTTCCCATCAATATTTTTAGCCAAAAGTCTGACCTCACACCTCCTGGCTCTTATGCCATCTCTTCCAGGTACTGTCCAATAGCCCCTCCATGTCTCTTGGAGAGCTAAACACCTCTAGACATTTACACTCACAGCATTCCCTTCTTTGCCATCCAGTCATTCTTTAATTCAGGCTTCCAACTCAACTATAACGGTTCTCTCTAAAAATCATGTAAGGTTCTTTATAATTTGGCCGCACCCTGCCTTTCCAGCTTAACTTTACATTATTAACTCTTATTTTACCAAGAAAATTGAGGCCACTGGCTATGAGTTCCCCCTTCTCGTCCTCTCAGAACCTCTTGCTGACATCCCCTCCCTTTCTCTTTGCCATGGTCATCTCCTCTACCTGGAACCTTGGATTCCATACATCTACTCCTATCTTCTTCAGTTGCCTTTCCCTCCTCTTCCTCTCTAATCTTAAACCTCTCCCTATCTAGTTGGCTTCATCTCTACTGCCTTCAAACATGCCCAAGTATCCCCCATCCTTAAGAAATCTTTATCCGATCTTACTGTCCTTAATCCATCCTTAACCCTCCTGCTCCACTTCTCAGCTAAATTATTAGAAAAAGTTGTCTACACCAGAAGTGTCAAACACCCCCCACCACCACTACCCCCAGTAGGGTCTTAACCAAATTGAAATGTAATTGTGAAATATTTAAAAAATAATAAAACACAGATATGACACTTTAAAACTAATATGTGGCCTGCACACATCCTTATTATATTGAGTGATCCTGTTTCTATTTGAGTTTGACACCACTGATTGACACTAGCCTATTTCACTTCTGTCCTCACTCCTCAACCCTTCACATCTGGCTTCAGAACTCATTACTCAAATGAAATTGCTCCCTCTGATGTTACCAATGGTCCCTTAATTACTAAATCAGATGAGTCTTTTCCTCAGTCCTTATCCTTCTTTACATCTCTGTTGACCACCATATTGTCCTGGATACTTTTTGCTCTCTCCTAGTTCTCTTTCTACATGCCTTATCACACATTCTTGGTCTCCTTTACTGCTCACTGTCCATATCATGTCCCCTATCTCCAACTTCCCCAAGGTTCTGTCCTGGGCCCTCTTCTCTCTCTTGCTGATCTCAGCAACTCCCATAGGTTTAATTATCATCTCTATGCACCAAGCTATCTAAAGCCCTTTGAAAAATGCTCCAAATAGCCAATAATTAGAGAAACGCAAATTAGAGCAACTCTGAGGTTTCACCTCACAAAAATAAGATAGGGAAAGATGACAAAAAAAGGAAAATGACAAACTGTGGAAGGGCTGTATGAAAACAGGCACACTAATGCACTGTTCACAGAGTTGTAAATTGGTACAACCATTGTGGAAAGCAATTTGGAATTATGTCCCCAATGCCACTAAACTGCACACCTTCTGATTCACCCAAAAATACCACTACTAGCCTATATCCCAAAAAGATCAAAGACAAAAAAGAACCCATATTTACAAAAATATACAGCAGCAGTGGTGGAGGAGGCGGCCTTACTCTCAATAATGTAGAAACCTAAGACTTGGGAGAGCTGGAGAAGAGAGAAGGTTTGAAACAGTCGTTGTGGGTAGTATAGTAGGAAGTCCATCAGAGATTAGTAGAACGACCCGCTGTCAGTGGTAAATAGCATGAATTTATGGTTGACCCAGGCAGTCTTTTGTGACTTCCCCAGCTCTTTTTGGTAGGAGTTATGATATGATGCAAATCATATGATGCAAATTGGAATATAAATGTAGAAGAGCAATATAAAGGCTATTAAGTGATGGGAGAGGTCACTTCTAGCTGAGGGCTGGGGTCGGGAGGAAAGGCTTTGCAGAGGAAGTGGCATTGGGGGTGAGCTTTAGGGAACAGCATGAGCATGTGGAAGAGGGAATATTGAAGAATAGGCAAAGAAGAAAAATCCAAGGGAATGGCTAAATAAATTATAGTATATGAATGTAATGGAATTATATCATAAGAAATTATGAAAGGGACAGTTTCAGAGAAACCAAGGAAGGTTTGTATGAAGTGATGCAGAGTAAAATGAATATAATCAGAACAATGAATAACAACATTGTAAAGACAAACAACTTTGAAAGATTTAAGAACTATTGTCAATGGAATGACCTACTCATGATTCCAGGTGCTCCCCACCTCAGGATACAAAAGTGTGGAAAAGATACAGAATAAGACATATTTTCTGGACATGGCCAGTTTGAGAATTTGTTCTGCTTAACTGTTTATAATTGCTACAAAGGTATGGTTTTCTTTTTTCTTTTTTTCCCCCTCTGGGAGCAGGAGAAGTGGGATCAAGAGAAAATAAATGCTGGTTAGTTGAGAAAAAAAATGTTTTAAAAAATTATCTCTAGGAATGTGACTTAGATCTCTCCAAATCCCCACGTTCCCTGAACTGCCATCTCCTATCAGCAAATGTCTACTGGATATTTCAAACTAGATGTTCCAGAAGCATCTTAAACTTACTATGTCCAAAACAGAATTCATTATCTTTCCCCAAAAAACCTGTCACTTTCCCTAACCTCCCTATTTCTGTGGTAGGGACCTTCATTCTTCCAATCTCTTGTGCTCATAGCTTTGCGATATCCTCTACGTTTTATTTCCCCTTGCCCCACACATCCAATCAATTGCCAACTCTTGCCATTTCTATCTCTACATCTCTCACATCAACCCCTTTTCTCTACCCACACAGCCACCACCTCAGGTCAGGTCTTCATTACCTCTCATCATTACTGCGTGATGTCCCAGATGGTTTCCCTGCCTCAGGTCTCTCCTCACTCAAATCAATTCTCCATCCAACGCCAAAAATGATTTTCCTTAAACACAGATCCGACCATGTCACTCCCCAACTCAACAAACTCCAATGACTCCCTATTATCTCTAGGATAAACTAGAAGCTCCTTTTAAAACCTTTCACAACTTGGCATCAACTCTTCTTCTCAGCCTCACATTACTCCATTTCTGCTCTCTACAATCCAGGCAAACCGATAGCACTTTGTCTCCAGGGCTTTTGCACTTGTGCAGGTGCCAGCCAGCCCTCCCTCCCTAGTTTGCATTTATTGTTTATTTGAATGTGTGTTGTCTCCCCTGGCTGAATGAAAACTCCTATGGAATAGGAATGGTCTCCTCATCCTTTGCATTTGTGTCTACAGTGCCTAGCACAGTTCCTGGTATTACAGTAGGCATTTAAACAATGTTTGCCAACTTACTGATTAACAGATTCAATACCTCTCCTGTGAAGGCCCTTCACAACCCTACTTCATTTCCATCTGCTAAAAATCTTTCTCGTATTCCATGGCTCAGCTCAGATGTCACGTTTTCTACGAAACAAACCATCCCTAATTCCTCTAAGTGTTCGACCTACCTTCAAATTTTCCTAGTAAAGAGCACTTTGTATAGCTCTCTTATTTGCTGTATCACATTCTACCTTATACTACATTTTTCAGAGTGTCCTATGTTGCTAGTATTGCAGCGACTTGTACATAGTTAATAAATGTTTGTTGTATTAAACTGTAAACTCCTTGAAGGCAGAAATTTTGTCATCATTATTTCTACATCCTCCAGTGCCTCTTCCAGGACAGTCTAATAATGCACACAGCAATCAACTGGCATGAAGTCTGGACAACGTGAGATACCCAGGGGGTAAGGATGATAAGGAATGGCAGCCAGCCACTAAGAGGACGCCTGGTGGGAAATAGCACAGCTGCTCCTGAGGTTCTACTCTCTCCAGTGAGTATAATTTAATTTATAAATTATAATTTATAATTTAAAGCAGAATACAAAAAGAGCCTTCAAGCACCACTCTTCACCCAATTCTGCCCACTTTTCAAAGGGATAGGGTTATCAGTACCAGCCCAAAGCCTAACATCCACGAAGCACTGCTCCATTGGACAAGGATGAATTTCAGGTCAAGGCTTGGTGGCACATGGGGGCACCTGCCCTAGGCTGGGGCAGATCGGGACAACCTTCCTCCCTCCTGCTTCCCAGAAGCAAGCGCGTTTTCTCCTCCTCCTCCCCCCAGCCCAGATGTAGCCCGGGACCCTGTCCATGCTTGAGAAGATCATAGATTCTGATATGGAAGAAACCCGACTGAGCCCGGCGCTCTCTCCGCTGTCCAGGCCTCCGCTTTGGACGGGGGAGACATGGAGCCAGAGCCCCGGGTTCGAATCGCGGCTCCGCTACTTCTCAGCTGGGGGACCCCTGGGTCGGGTCCTTTTTCTCTCTGGGCCTGAACTTAGGCTGGGGGACCTCTCCACTGCCGCACCGGCCCCCAGCACACCGCCCACCGGTGCCCCGAGGGCCTCGCGGGGTAACGTAACGGCCACGCCCCGGAGACAAGCCCGGCCGCCTGGTCCCCGTCCTAAAAATACCGTCCCTTTCCCCTCCAAGGCCGCATCACGCCGGCCACCGCCGCCTCCGCCGCGCCGGGCGGTACCTGCGCTGCAGACGAGGCAGCCGCCGAGAAGCAAGCGCAGCCAGGCCGCCCCGCCGCCCCGGGGCCCCCAGCCCGGGGACCGGGAAGCGACCGGCGGCGCCGGCGCCACTTTCATTCCTCCCGCCATGGTCGCCGCCGAACGCCGCCTCCTTCTCACGTGCCCACCCCGGCAACCGGTCCAGAACGAGCAGCCGTCTGGGCCTATCGGAGAGCAGGATCCACAAACAAGACCCGCTCCCTACCAACCCAGCCCGGATGGGCGGGGCTCCGAATTTCCGCGACCCGTAGTGACAGAGCAGTGAGTCTACCCTCTAGGTAACTGACAAGAGGAGGGCGGGGTTCGTTTCTGACCTATTAGAAAAGAGATTAGCTACAGGAAGATGCCGCCCCCTAGCAACATGCTTCCTCTGCAATTTATTTAAACAACACTAAGGATGATTGATATAAGGGCAACCAATAGGTGACTGGGATGGGCAGGCACTTCGAGATCATACATTACGCCTTCCTTCGCTTCTTCCTTATTTTCTCCTCCCCTTCCCACCCTAGTTTATTATTGTTGGGCACACTGTTCTCACGCTTCTGTCATTTTCTTCCCATTTTTAAATACGCCATTCCCCTTTTCACATTCCTTCCATCTTGCACTCATGGAAGAAATTGCATCAGTGCTCCCCCCACCCCCACCCCGCTCACACATACACACACATTCAAAGGTAGAAAAAGGTACACTTCTGATTCCTCACTTCCACTTCCAAACACTCCCTGGATGCTGTGGTCGCTAAGCAATCTCTCGTTTGAAGACCCCTCCGTCCTTCCTATGGCCCTAAGCAATCAATCAACAAGCATATATTATGGGCCTACTATTGAGCAATCATTGTGCAGTCATCACTGGGGATACAAACACAAAGGTGAGACAGTCTCTGCCCTCCAACAACTTACTTACATTGCACTATCTAGACCCTTGTTGCTGCTATCCACCATCCCCCAAATTGTTCTTCATTTTTCAAGGAGTTTATTTGCTGATACAGTCTTCCTCTCCCAAACATCCCCTGATGTGCAGTAGATGAATAGTAGACTTGGGAGTCAGGAAGGCCTGAGTTCAAGTTTCACCCCATCACTTACCACTTTCTGTAACCGTGGTTATGTCACTTAACCTGAGTCTCAGTTTCCCCATCTGTGAAATGAGATAATATAGCTCAGATTAGATGACCTTTATAAAGTGATTTGAGCTAAGGGTTGATATCCCTTCAAACACCCTGGCTTCCCAATTCATCAATCTTCTCAACTTCCCACAGGGATGGTTGTACCCTTGACCTCACTATGATCTGTGACCATACTACTACATTCATAAAACTCACTGTGGAATCTACTTGGGAAATGAATAGTCTACGTCTTGCTTGGACAGCCATCTTAACCATAAGTCTTTCTCATCCTTTTCCCTAGAAAAACATATCTCAGAGCTAAGATGGCACAGTAACAGAAAGCAGTACAGTGAGTTTTCCTCCAAAATATATCTAAATAGGTCTAGAAAATTCACCAAACTAAATCCTGATGGGGAAATCCAAGAAAAAGTCACAGGGAGCCATTTTAGGGCGTGTGCAGAAAGAAGAGCAGGTTCAGAAGCAAGAAGCAGCAGGGTGGCTCACATCCCAGAAATAAAGCAGGGTCTCCATTTCTAGCTTCTAGCAGCCTAAACTTTGCATAGGAATAACCAGAGCAGGAATCCCAGACCAAAGGAAATCTGCAGTTCTTTCTCTCTGATGCAGCAGAGCTTTGCAGCTGGCTAATAGTGGTGTCTGAGTCCCGCAGCAATCTACTGTTGCCAAGAACCAAATTCAAGTCAGGAGCCTGCAGAGTTCAGACCAGAAGGACAATAATCAGACTTTACCCTCAGACCATTTTGACAGCACTAAAAGCTTGCAGGTTCCCAGCCTGAGCTGTCCCTGAGATCCTGAAATAACACAACAGTCAATGCTTCAAGAAAGTAGCAACAGGACCAACTGAGACCTTCCCTGAGCAGAGCCCAGCCCTAACATCACATCCAAAGTTAGGAAGCAGGCTGAAAGAATGAGCAAACTAAAAAAAGCATCCCACCATAAAATGCTATTATGGTGACAGGGACACTCAAGACACAAACCCAGAAGAGGATAACTCCAAAAAAAATCTACGAGCAAAGCCTCAAAGAAAAACACAGCATTGGCACAATTCAACTGAAATTCCAGGACAAGATAAAGCAAGAGTAAAAAAGAAAGACTTAAAAATATTTTTATCAAAGAAATGAGAGGACTAGAGGGGAAAAAATGAAAAGAAATGAGGGCTTTGGAAGAAAGAATTGGAATAGAAATTAACAGCTTAGCACAAAAGGTACAAAATCTTACTCAAGCAATAAACCTGAAAATTAGAATGTACCAAGTAGAAGGCTTGACTCCATGAAACAAGAAACATTAATAATGAAATCAAAAGATTGAAAAAATCAAAGAAAATGTAAAATATTTCATAGCAAAAACAAATGATCTGGGAAAAAGTTTGAGGAGGGAAAAAAAAAGAATAATTAAACTACCTGAAAGTCATGAGCAAGATAAAAAGAGCCTGGACATCAGATTTCAAGAAATCTTACAAGAAAACTGCCCACATCGCTTAGAATCCAAGGGCAAAGTGGAAATAGAAAGAATCCACTAGTCACCTCCTGAAAGAAACCCTCAAATGAAAACTTCTATGAACACCATACCTCAAATCCAGAGCTTCCAAGTCAAAGAAAAAACACTGCAAGCTGCAGAGAAAGGATTTAAATACCAAATACCATAGTCAGAATCACACATGACTTGGTAGGCACCACTATAAAGGAGCAGAGAGTTTGAAATACAACATTCCAGGGGGCAAGGATATAGATATACAGCCGAGAATAACTTATCCAGCAAAACAGATTATAATTCTACAGGGGGGAAAATAGATCTTTAATTAAAGGATTTCCAAGAATTCCTAATGAAAAGACCAAAGCTGAGAAGATACTTTGAAATACAAACATAGTAGTCAAGAGATACATAACAAGGTAAACGCAAATGACTAAGTAAGGATAAACTGCTACATTCTAATATGGAAGATGAGGTATCTGTCCCCTCTAAACCCTATCATGGGTCATAGAGGAATTTCATTAGATAAGGCCTAGGAATCATTCTGTGATGTCTTGATCTTCAGAGAAGAATGGAGAGAGAGGGGAAGAGTAATACACTAGAAGGGAAACAAAAGGAAGGTTAGGGGAAATTATCTCACATAATCAGGATTGCCAAGTTGATATCTATATGAACAAGGAGGAGGGAATGGGGGGAGCACTTGAAACCTAAACCTCATTCCCATTTGAGTTGGTCAAAGGTAGGAAGACTACACATACATACACACACACACACACACACACACACACACACACGAGTTGGGTACAAAAATACATCTCACTCTATAAGGAAATAGGAGAAAAAAAGAGAGAAGAAGGAATTGGTAGGAGGGTAGATTAAGGGAAGGATTAGTCCTAAGCAAACTCTATGGATGTTCAAAAATATTTATTCCTTTTTTTTTTTGAGGTGGCAAAAAATGAGAATGTGAGGGGGGCCTCTTGGTATATGAAAGAGAATCAACCTCATGACTCTCACATCTTGAAATGCATGGTATATGACTTAAAGATGGACATAGGGGAGCGAAAATCCTGTGCTTTGCTCCCTTCTCCTATTGTGAGTTATTTGGACAGTGAAAGTGCAAATGAAAAGAGGGCTGCCTGTCCAGAGGTTCCACCCTGTGTCTTCCTTTGAGGAGAATCTAAACCACAAGGTGGCACTATGCATTTGAAATAGACCGTGTAAAACCCTGTGGGAGACATGAATTCCTCTAGAATGTCAGAATGTTGTCCTGCTGGCAACCCTGAGTTCAATTTCCTGAGGAACTGAGGGAAGCTTGTTGGCTGCTGGGAGCACTTTAAGTGTTTTCTATAAGTTTTTATGGATGCCTGTGAGTCTTTTGTGACTTTTGCATTTTCTATGGGTAAAGAAAGGCTGTCCCCTACCCACAAATTATTACCACAAATATTTATATTCGAGCTGAGAGTTCTGTTATCCATATTGGAGAAAACCTAGACATGAATATCTACAAATATTTCCTAAGGGAAATCCTGGGTAGGAATGTAATGAGACAAAAAGAGATAGTGATCTTTTAAGGTCTGTCCAGTCCATGTGAGTCCAGAGCTCGGGAGGCCCTGGTTCACAGGTTACATTATACACCAGTTATTCTCAAAGTTTGGTACCAAAAACCTCTGGGGGTCCCTGAGACTCTTTCAAAGGGTTTATGAAGTCAAAACTATTGTCATAACAATACTAACATGTTTTATTTTCTAATAAGGTAAATATCAGTAGATATGACCTGCATAAACAAAAGCCCATTGAAGGACTTTAATAATTTTTTTTTTTTGCTTCTTTTGGTGAGTCGATCAGGGTTAAGTGACTTGCCCAGGGTCACGTAACTAGTGAGTACTAAGTGTCTGAGGCTAGATTTGAATTCAGGTCCTCCTGACTCCAAGGTCAGAGCTCTATTCACTTCACCACCTAGCTGTCCCAGTCTTTGATAATTTTTAAGAGTCTAGGGGCAGCTAGGTGGCGCAGTGGATAGAGCACCAGCCCTGAAGTCAGGAGGACCTGAGTTCAAATCCAGCCTCAGACCAAACATTTGACACTTACTAGCTGTGTGACCCTGGGCAAGTCACTTAACCCCAATTGCCTAAAAAAAAAAAAGAGTCTAAAGGGGTCTTGGGACCAAAAAGTTTGAAAACTACTATGAATATTCCCAGGTCTCCCCAAATCCTTAAGCATTTATTAAGCACCTACTATGTGTCAGGCCCTATGCTAAGCACTTTGCAATTATTATCTCATGATATCCTTACAGCAACTCTGATGGGTAGGTGCTACCTTTTTTACAGATGAGGAAATAGGCAGATAGAGGTTGAGTGACTCGTCCAGGGTCACAAAACTACTAAGTATCTAGAGACAGATTTGAACTCAGGTATTCCTGACTCCAGGCCCAGTCAGGCCCAGTGCCTATACACTTTGCCACCTAGCTGCCACCTTCACTTGACCCTACCATCAGTTTCCT